GAGCGACGGCCAACCACGCCGGTTTCGAGAGTCGGTTCTCAGTCACGCGCCGCCACGATGCGCTTCTTTCTGGCCAGTCTATCGCCGGCCGCCGGTCGCCGTCACAGTTTCGACCGGTGACCAGCAGATCTGAAGCGTCTCCTCGAGCGACGGCCAACCCCGTCGGAGACAAGCACAGAGTCTGCTCAACACGCCTCCACCGCCACCTTTTCATCAGATCTCGACGCGTGTCTGCACGGCCGCACTTCCCGGGTCGGGAGTTTTCACCACGCGACACCTCCATTGCTTCGCCGGACCTCCCTCTCTCTGTCAGACCTTCTAGAGCAGCCATTGACTGCCATCTTCGTCTGCTCTTCGTTCTCCGCGTGATTGTTCCAGGCACCGTTTTCCATGTACAGGCACTGTTTGCCGTTGTCCAGCCATTGTTTGTCGTTGTCCGCGCCGTCTTGCCGTTGTCCGACACCGTTTGCCGCTGTCCCGCGCCATCTTGCCGCTGTCCCGCGCCATTTGCCGCTGTCCCGCGTTGTTTGCCGCTGTCCCGCACCGTTTGACGCTGTCCCGCGCCGTTTGCCGCTGTCCAGGCACCGTATGCTTCCAACCACTGTAGGCCCCCATCACCTCGTCAGTTAGTGATGGCAGTCCCGTAGTTTTGTCGCTTCTAGCCACTACAGGCCACATCAGTTAGTGATGGCAATTTAGTACCCTACAGTTTTATAGCAGTCAACCGCCGTTGCAATCGCTACCGCCTCAGACAGACGCAACTGCGTCAGTTCTTCTTGGGCTAGAGTTTAGCCCGATCTTCTTGTCATACACGCTAAGTATCACCCAACTTGGGAGTTGTCCAGCAAAGAATTTTGGACCTCCAACGAATCTTTGGATCTTTGATGCCTTTGTTTCAGCATTGTAGCTTAATATTTTGTTTTGTTTTAGTGGTCCAGCAACTGTGATATTCCACTTTATGCCTTCACACTAAGGGGGAGTACGTTTCCAAGACACTGCAAGTCACATATATATGGGTGTAGTCCCTGCAGTTTTGTAGATTTCAGCTACTACTGTTGGTCCCGTCACCCAGCCATCATTGATGAGGATTAGTGTAGTCCCTGCAGTTTTGTAGCTCTTAGCTTTCAGCTACCACTGTTGATCCCGTCACTCATCCATCATTGATTGGTAGTCCTTGCAGCTTGTCATTGTCCACCACTGCTCTCCTTCATCCCTACTTTGAAGTTGAAGTTTCACAAGCTGCTGTTAGTCCATCTATGTTTGCCTCACACTTTTGAAGACAAATCATCTAGTTCAACACTGAGTTCATCTATTCCAAGCTTAGTTCATACAATTTGTATGCTCCAGCTTGAGGGGAGTGTTAGATATATTATATCTTTTATCTTTTAGTTAGTTGTTATTATTTCTCATTTGTATTTTGGGCTTAGCCCATATTTCTTCTATTATAAATAGAGAACCCTATGTGTGTATTTACACAAGGGAGATTAATTCAAATATAGTTTTTCACTATATTCAACAATGATATAATTATTACACTATAAGAACACTAATGCAATCATCTTCAAACGAAGAATCCTAAAAGTGCCATATATGTTGGGTGTTATAGTAACATAATCAAAGAAAGTAGTAATTTCTCACAAGGAAATATGCTTCAGATATCCTAAAAGAGATAGGTAAGATTGACCATAAACTAGTAGATAGTCCTACGAATCCAAATCAAAAACTAGATGCAAAGCATGGTGAAGTTTTCCCTCATTCAGAAAGACATAGAAGATTGGTTAAAAAATTTATTCATCTTACTATTACAAGACTAAATTTCCCTTTCACAGTTGGTATGAGACAATTTGTGCAGACTCCTCGTATTGATCATTGGAATGTTGTCATTCATATCCTAAGATACATAAAAAAGACTCATTGACAAGCTCTACTTTATTAAGATATAGGTAATACCAAAGCGTTATGTTGATGGAGAAAGTTCTCCTGCGGAAAGATGATCTACTATAGGATATTATGTTTTCATTGGAGAAAATATTATTCCTTTGAGAATTAAGAAACAAAATGTGGTTATCTGATCAACTATTGAAGTTGAATATAGGGTGTTGAATATAGTGAAAAACTATATTTGGATTAATCTCTCTTGTGTAAAATACACACATAGGGTTCTCTATTATATAGAAGAAATATGGGCTAAGCCCAAAATACAAATGAGAAATAATAACTAACTAACTAAAGATATAATATATCTAACACTCCCCCTCAAGCTGGAGCATAACAAATGTATGAACTAAGCTTGGAATAGATGAACTCAGTGTTGAACTAGATGATTTGTCTTCAAGAATGTGAGGCAAACATAGATGGACTAACAGCAGCTTGTGAAACTTCAACTTCAAAAGTGGATGAAGGAGAGCAGTGGTGGACAATGACAAACTACAAGGACTGGTTCCCAATCAATGATGGATGAGTGACGGGATCAACAGTGGTAGCTGAAAGTTAAGAGCTACAAAACTGCAGGGACTACACTAAATCCTCATCAATGATGGATGGGTGACGGGATCAACAGTAGTAGCTGAAATCTACAAAACTGCAGGACTACACCCATATATATGTGACTTGCAGTGCTTGAAACATACTCCCCTTAGTGTGAAGGTGGAAATGTGAAAGATCACAGTTGCTAACCACTAAAGCAAAACAAATATTAAGCTACAATGCTGAAACAAAGGCATAAAATACCAAAGACATGTTGGAGGTCCAAATTCTTTGCTGACAACTCCCAAGTGGTGATACTTAGCCGTGTATCACAAGAAGATCGGGCTAAACTCTAGCCCAAGAAAACTGACGCAGTTGTCTGAGGCGGTAGCGACTGCGCGGCGGTTGACTGCTATAAAACGTAGGGACAAAATTGCCATCACTGACTGATGGGCCTGTAGTGGCTGGAAGCGACAAAACTACAGGGACTGCCATCACTAACTGACAAGGTAATGGGGGCCTACAGTGGCAAACTGCGCCTGGACAGCGACAAACGGCGCCTGGACAGCGGCAAACGGCGCGGGAACAGGCATCAGCAACTGAGACGAAGCACACAATGCAGAAGCGGCATCAGCAGCTGAGACGAAGAACACAACGCAGAAAGGAAGGTCCGACGATGCGGAACGTGCGGCGAGATGAAGATGCTTTGAAAACAGACGAAGATGGCAGCAATGGCTGCTCTGGAAGGTGTGAACAGAGAGAGGAGGTCCGGCGAGACAACCGGCAGTGTCGCGGTTTGATGGCCGATGCTGGGAAGGCGGCGCGTGACAAACACGCACCGAGATCTGACGGAGAAGAAGCGGCGCGGGCGGAGCGTGGGAAAGAGTCAGACGCCGGCACCGGTGGGGTTGGTCGTCGCGTGAAGAGGCGAACCAGATCCAGTGGTCGCCGGACGGAACTGTGACGGTGGCCGGCGACAAGGCGGCGGCGGACTGGCCGAAAAGAAGCGCTGCGTGGCGGCGCGTGACTGAGAGGTGGCTCTCGAAACCGGTGTGGTTGGCCGTCGCTCGAAAAGACGGTCCAGATCTGAAGGTCACCCGTCGAAACTGTGACGGTGGCCGGCGGTGGCGGCGGCAACGGCAGCGGCGGCGACGGTGGCCGGAGTTAGCAGCGACGGCAGAGGAAAGTGGCGGCGACAGCAGTGGCACACTGGGTCTGGACTGGTGCTGACTGTGGCAGAGATTTAAGAAGAAAATATGGACTGCCCACTGAGATTTTAGGGGCTGCCGGCGGCCATGGCATCCGGCCGCCGGCAGACAGCAGAGACCACCAGAAGAGGATCAGAGAACTTGCTCTGATACCATGTTGAATATAGTGAAAAACTATATTTGGATTAATCTCTCTTGTGTAAAATACACACATAGGGTTCTCTATTTATAATAGAAAAAATATGGGCTAAGCCCAAAATACAAATGAGAAAATATGGGCTAAGCCCAAAATACAAATGAGAAATAATAACTAACTAACTAAAAGATATAATATATCTAACATAGGGCAATGACATCACTCACTTGTGAGTCTATGTGGGTAAAACAGTTCCTCAAAGAATTAGAATTTTGTGAGATTCAACAAATAAAGAAGTATTGTGATAATTGAGCAGCTTTTCACATTGCTTCTAAATTTCTACTCCATCAGAGGACCAAACACACAGGATGAAGTTACAATGAGCAAGTAGAACATCACAAAGTTTGATGAGCAAATAGAACATCACAAAGTTAGTGATGAGCAAATAAAACATCACAAAGTTAGTGATGAGCAAAGGAGAGACAGACGCTCCTTGAAAGTGGATTTTAAGTTTAATTCAACCTTACAAAATCCGTTTAGAAAGTGAGGTTTGTACTCATTTATATACTATAACTTGGTCATATCTTTAATTAATAAAAGATCTCTAACAGACACTATAAGGTCTACACAACAACCATTGTTTCAAAATTGCTACAAAATTAAGGCCCAAGATCACCAAAGTTTATAGAAGAGCGAAGCTGAGTGCAGTTGTAAAGCAAGAAAATGAGAACCGGGGCACCTAAGTGAAATTAAAGGGAACAAAAGTGTAAATAGTAGACAAGCTGGGAAAATGTTGAAGAGCAGTGAATGTACTGAGAGAAAATAAGCAACGAAGGGTGTATTTGTTGGGAGTGGAGAATTGGTTAAGTTGTGAGAGATTTGACCTCATAGAAGCATAGAACTGCTTCATCTTTCTTCTTCAACACCTCAAACAATCTAAATAGTTGGGTTTTCATTTCGCTCTTGTCTCTGATTTTCAATCCTTATAAGTTGGTAATGAACAGGGCACCCAATTTTATCTTCTTATTCCAAGTTCTAATTAAAATAACTACAACTAACAAGCCAGAATAACATCATATAGGACATGTGTGCACTAAAATATTATGTCAAAATACTTTACCATTAAAATTCAAATAGAAATTTAGAACAGGACATCTATACACACAGGAATCAAGGTCATTGTCATTTACCTTCAAACAAGGATCAAACAGCAAGCATGTCATTAAAGTTGCATCATGCATCCTATGAAAATACAAATTTAAAAAAAAAAAAAGTTAGAAAACAACATCAAATGGAGAAAAATATTAGAGTTTGATTGCATTGACAAAAGGAGAAATGGTCAGGCCATACCTTGCTTGTAGTGCATCACTGGTTGGCAAAAGCAAGGACCATTGCATGGATAAAGATTTAGAATCAGCTTGACAAAGATCCTTCCCATCCCAACATATAAAAGAATAATAAGAAAAAGAACAATCAATCACCACAAAGTTAGCAAACCTTATATGTCATAGATGATGTCATCCAAGCAAGTTAAACAATAAAGACAAAAAATTATATATTTATCTTTTCCTTTTGAGTTATTGGAGCAAGAAAGGGTAGCCAAAACTCAAAATTTGGAATAGGTTTTTCTTCCTATTGAAAATGTCTGGAAAATTAATGAACAAGAAATTGGTTCTCTGGCCTTTGAAAATGTAAAAGGAAACAATTACATTGTGCTCTCGAAAGTGATTCTAATTTTTTACATTAAATAATGGAAGTGATTCTAACAAGACATTGGAGGAAGTCACCAGAGACATCTCAAATAAAATACTTGAACTATGTAAGAACAAAAGAATTATTTTATTGATAACTATCACACAAGTTACATTCTGATCCACTCTATTTGTAATAATCAAAACCTTTAAAATAAGGAAATAAAAATATACCAAAATGAATAGAAAGATTCCAAAGATATTTTTTCTAATTACTAAGGAGATATTGAGAAATTTCTATTCTAAAAGCTACTATATAAAACAAACAATATTCATAAAATCTTGGTTTTTATCCATGCCAAATGGAATTTTGTAATCAACATAGCCAACCTCACTGGTGCGAAAAGGCTTGTTGAATTGGTTTCTAACCAGTGTTATCAATATCGGATACCGAAAATATCGAAGAGCCCAAAAATCTTTTATAAAGTTATAATGGAAATCATATCGGGTTATGACGAAAACATTGCTGCCAAAAGAAATATAATATGTATTTAAAAACAAGTACAGAAATACAATTATAATGCAAAATAGGTATATTATGTGTGTTGAAATGTAATGTTCTTTATTATTATTAATATTTATGTAGGGGAATTTTCTATAAGGTTTTTTAGGAGATTCCTGACCTTTTGGTATTCTGAACTACTGTCTCCTATAAATGCAGTAGTATATTGTATCAGAAGTTTAAGTGAAAATAAACCTTTTTAGCCATTCTCAACTCTTTAAGTATGGGATGTTGTTACGTACCTGAGTACGAGAACTTGCCACTCACACCCTTTCAAACCCCCAAAGGCAATAAACAATGGTATTTGACTGAATAAAACTCTTTATTAACTGGAAATATGGGTATCACAATAAACAACCAATAACTGGGAGCAGGGTCTCCGTCAGTTACCTGAGAGCCTAACCTCTCTTACAAACTCCTTAATCAAAACCTCCCCTAAACCCTAGGTTCCTCCTTTATTAATACTAATTATTCCTTCCCAAAAAGTTAAAGAATAATAGTAATTATGCCTATTTATTATAATTATCTGGTAAGAATATTTCTATCCTTATTGACTATATTTACTTCTATAATATCCTGAGGTACGTCCTTTGAGTTTCCCGCTTATCCTACTGTTGTCAGTTAGAACGCTCGTTGTTGCTTCCACTCGCTCAGGACGCTCGTCATCGCTCCACTCGCTCAGCCCTCTTTTTCTCTTCCCCCTATCGTCCGGCCATCGTGCTCCCCCCTTTCCACCGTTCGGTCATCGTGCTCCCCCCTTTCAACCGTTCGGCCCTCGTGCTCCCCCTTTCAACCGTTCGGCCCTCGTGCTCCCCCCTTTCCACCGTTCGGCCACTGTCCTCTACCGTACGGACCCCTTCTCTCTCTCTCCTATATCTTCTTCTCTCGTAAACTCGCCAGGCCCTAACAGATGTTTTTGAAATGCCTTGGCCATTGGCCATTATTATTGCTAGAAAATAGGTATATTTTCAGAAAATATAGAAATGGAGAAGAAACAAAAAATTAAAAATGCAGGTGGTATTTGACAAAATAATTTGGAAAAAAAAAACAATCTAGTAATCTGCTGCATTGGCGGCGGTGGTGACAGTAAACAGCAAGGCAAAGGGCAGTGTGGCTAAAGAAGGAGAGGGGTGTTCAACGTATTAGGTTGAATGTTTTTATTAGGCCTGGCCCAATTTTTTTAACTGTATCAGTAGGGTTTTAAACCCAACAAAAGACAAAACTAACACAGCAGCCTCCAATTAGGGTTTCTTCTCCGATTTCCTCTCCATGCTACTCCCTTCCTTACTTCTACATGCCGCTGCCCCACCTTTTCCACCATACCCGTTCCACTTCCACCAAACGTTATACAAAAAGCGGCTGCCATGGGCCACCACGAGAAACCTGATTCACCACCACCTAGTTGTGGAGGCAGGTTGCAAAACTGCCATCAGTTTCCGCCATGGCACTGCATAACCGAGTTTAAATAACACTGTTTCTAACACCACAATGGAATTCTACACCATTTACATAAACTGAGCTTCTAGCATTTCGCTTTTTTACATCAAGTAATGTTGACATATATTAGCGCAGGTGAATAATATTGCCACAAGAATTCGTACTTCAAACAGTAATGACCTATATTATACATCAGTAAGTTCAATATGAAAAACAAAGACATACAAATCTACCACGCTAAGTGGAACACTACAATCTTGGGATGATTACAATATTAATAATGTTATTGTGCTAGGCTTTTACTAGTTGAACTACACTTGAACTAGATAAGATCATTAGTTCCTTTGATGATCAGATACATCATTTGAACTAACATATCTATGTTCGGAAAACACAGAAAAACACAGAGAGACAAATACTTACAGACACTTCCAGAATTCATATTCGGAAGTATATATATATATATATATATATATATATATATACATATATATACATATAGACACACATGTAGGTCAAGTCACACTCAAATTGTGTTGTCTAGGTTGTTATGCTCTTAAGTAGAAAGAGTAGCATCTTGACTATCAACTAGGATGACAAAAAAAATTGAGTTAGGCATAAACCTTTTTACTAATATGAACCAAGTTTCAGTACCATCTCAAATATAAAATGATTTTACTTCTTTGAATACATCATATGTGTGTGTGTGTATACAAGATTGGAAAACTAATTTAAGAACTAAAATAACAGCAGTTAAGAAATACAAAAATAGAAGACTTTTTTACAAAGGTGGTTAATTAGAGATATAGTTGATTATATTTGTAACAAATTGACCATAGTTACCATCTAAAATCCAAATTAAGATGGAGTGTTAAGAATTAATTGTACATAAACATATATATCTCTACACTGAACTGATCTAAGGTTTTCAAAATTATCCAACAAAACCATAGCAACAACAATCAAATAATGGAGAAGTTGATGACGAAAAGGTAAAGTTAATGGTTCTAATTTCTTCGAAAAATACATCTTAACCAACTTGTTTCTCATTCTAGACTTTTCACAATTAAATTTCAAGCAAGACTCAATTTAAAGTTATGAGACAGTTTTGCAAATTTACCTGTAAGCAAGTTATGGCAGCTACTCTAACCCTTGAGTTCTGCACTCTGCCACTATCATTAGCTGATACATCTCCATCACTAAACTCTGAATCTGAAGACGTAACATTAATAGTAGAAGACTCACTATCTGACATGTATTGGGAATGCCTAACACTACAGTGCTTCACATTCAAACAGTCCCTTTTGCGCAAGTGTGGAGGCCTATATGTACCATGATCTGATTTTTTTAGTAGTTCCCTGCTAGCCTTGGGACTCATAGTACTAAGCTCCTTCTCCTTGTGACCAACAAGCAAATAAGTACCTGGTGTTCTACCTGAAAGGCCATAAACTAAGAACATTCGCAGAACAGCAACAAAAACTGACACCTAGAGGAAAAGTAAAACAAGTCACAATGATTAGGGGTATAACATTTCTTTACTCTTTGTATTAAAATAAAAAAGTCTTAAACTTACATGATCCGAAACTGCACATTTTGGATCAATGAGGATAAGATGTAGACAGCACAGAAAAGATTCATAAAACCTACAGAAAAGATGCATGTGACTTGCAGCAAAGTATAAAAATAATGACGATGAACCATGCATGAGTTTCATCATTGAATTCTAATAAGTTCCTCCAACATACAGATTACCTGGACATAGCACTATCTTCCACAACAGGGGGCTTTAATGCCAAGACGTCCATTGTTTTCCTGAACACCTGTTTCAAAAGAGACTAGTTCAAAAAAATCCTACAACTAATAGTTTTACAAAAAGAAATGCAGAATTATCATAAACCTCAAGAATTGATCTCCAAATGTCAACAGGGAAGGATGACCCAGCTCTTGAGATTGCTTCACTGAGCATCTCAAAAGCCACTGTCTGTAATTCACTGGAACTTCTTTCTGTGGAAAATCTCATATTAATACCAGTAGATTTTTCTTTACAAATTGAATGAGGCATCCAAAATGGCACACCATGAGAGCAATCGATAACATCAAGTAAAAATTTAACCAGTATAATATCTTCAGATTGCAACCATCTTCGATGAGATATAATAATAAATCTGGAGAGGGAGCAGATTTTGAAGAGTCAATTAAAAGTATCATTTACTAAAGAAAAAAAGTTGAGAGTACTAACAGTAAAAGCAGCAAAATAAAGAAACATTTTAATAGTATAAACTCAAATTTTGGAGCAACACCATTTAGCTCTTTCAAGCAATAGAGGTCAACATATGTTATTGAGTAAACAGTATTTTCTCATTCATATTTAAAAACATAAAATGACAGAACGCATTAAAATACATACACCAGGAACTTGGAAAATTGCAAACTACAGAAGCATATTCATAGGATTTGAAATATATGATGAATTGTCATATTATCACTTTGAGAAAATCTTCAAGAAAATAAAATCCTACAAAAAGTTCTAGAAAATAGCACAAGGCGCCTCCAAACCCTTAAGGTGTAGAGCTAATCCCCTTTCAAGGATGGTACCCTGCCCACAAGGTGGTCGCAGTAGGAGATTTGAACCCTATACTAAAAAGCAAAGTCTGGGCACTCAAGAGCTTAGGTTGTCAGCATACCCAGGGCCATAACTAGCAATTAATTAATAATAATATACTATTAGGATACATAAAAGAAATAAAGCACAATAGCCACAATCCACAATTTATCTACTAGAATGGAGAAAACAAAAATTACTACTATCATTTTAAATAACGGAATACATAATTCAACATTACTGACGAGAAAAAGAAAAGTCACTTCTCTTATATTTATCATATATAATAGAAAAGCAACAAGGTATCAGAGAAAAATAATAAAATACATAAAGTCAAGATTTTCAAATAGGTAAGGTAGAAATTAGAGAAGAGTCTGTATTAATCAAAAGAATGTTGTGTCTACTATGCTTTTCAAGTAAAAGCATTACTGCAGCCTAATAGTTCCAAAAGTGGACGTATGTAAAGTGCCTAGGAAAGATTACATCATGCATCAATTGTTTTTCAGATAATGAAAAAACCTGACAGCCTGTAAGCACTCAATGGCAGGAATTATTGTAGTAGTACTGCAAATTCCACTTATATCGCCAATAGCAGCAACGTTTCTAAGAAAAAGATTCAGCATCTTCCCGAAACAATTAAGGACACTACTATAAGAGGAGAAATTTAAATCGAACGAGACACATCGGCATATATCATGAATCTGCAATAAGAACACAGGCAACAATATCACTTATAAGAAAATGTCACCAATGTACAAGTTTATACAAGGCCTAAGAAAACACATACCAGTCGTGATGTCTGTGCATAAATACGAGTACAATCTTCTTCATCTGAAGAAGTTGCAGCAACCAATTCCATCATAAACAAAATGTCGGACAAAACCTTGGAGAAAAGAAATTAAACAACAAATCAGGTGTACATTTATAACAAGTGAGAAGAGAGTGCATAATTTAAGGCATGTTTGCAAAGCCGAAAAAGCACTTCCATAATATAGAAAAACGAGAAAGCTATAACTACTTTCCGTCATCAGTTTCCGAACACGCTCTAAAACCTCGCAAGCATTTACGTAAAGGAGAAAACGAAGAAGATACCTCGTGAGAGGGAAGTTCAACCGCAGCGGACACCAAAGCGTTTGAGTGTGAGAGAATGAGATTGTCGAGCAATTGCACGTTGGAATTGCGAGGAGGAATTGTTAGGGATTCATCCCTCAGTGTCAAAAATGCAGTTCTCCATGACCTAACCAACGACGTCGGTGCCGCTCCGTCAAATCCCTTACCGGCCATGGAAGAAATGACGATCAGGGAATAGCGTTTTCAAGTTTTTACTCACTCATCACTTCTGACTTAGGTGGAAATTGATTCAATGAACTCTCGAGACTATTGTGAATAATAGACACCAATGGCAGTGCAAAGGGGCAAAATTCAGTAATAGCAAAGTCTTGCCTGCTTCCACAATTGGCCCCTGGTTTGATCAAGATTTGTTATAGAAATTTTTTATTTGTTTCATATATATATATATATATATATATATTGAAACGAAACTAAAAGGTAAAAATTTACATAGATTAAGAAAATAATTGTTCCTATTTTAAATATAACTAAATTATAAATGTTTAGAAAGTCTAATTTTATATACGGATTTTTTATTACACCATAAGGCCAATATAATATATAATAATCATATATTTAATTGTTTTATTTTTATATAATAAACAATGGCAAAATAAACAATAATATATACGCATTGGTGTGATCTTTGTACGTTAATGGACTCTTTCTTTTTGGATCTCAATAATTTCTTTTTTGATATTCCGATTTATATAATTAGATTATTTTTAAATTTTACAATCTAAGATTCATTTTAAAAAATTATACATTTTGAATTATATCATCTGCGATATATTTAAAAAAGTAATATATTTCGATTAATCTGAAATTATTTTTTCAAACATAGAATGGATGGTTTTGTTCTTTCTGTTCCTTTTTCATTGATGTATGATTGATGTTAATTTTTTTAATTGAGAAAATAAAGTAAAATGTTATATGCTGCAATCGTGTGGTGAGAAATTGTGTTTGGGGATGATGTTAGCAATTTGAGTATTCGTGCGGAAGAAACATGATCAGTGAAGTGGGTGATTGTGATTTGTGATGAATTCACACAAGTTGTCATTCGCCTTTGTAGGAGGATTTGCCTAAAAATCTCAACAACAATGCAGTCAGCTTAGAAATCGGGTTGTTTTTGGACTTGGCATTGCGATTAGTGTGGGTGGTGAGGTTTTGGCTGGTGGATGGATCTTCGCGACTGCTTGTTGATGTTGTCTTCACTGGTGCACGATAATATTTTAAATTGGTTCGGGTCGTGGAATTACTGAATGGCGCGACCTCTGTGTTATGTATCACGAGCTTGTAGGGGATATGCTCGAAATTTGGAAAGGGACACCGAAAGTAAGAGTCGTGGAAGCCATGGGAGGAAGACATGATTAAGATAAATTTACACCGTACATTCAAAAAATGTAAATTTACATCGTACATCCTAATACAAGTGTTTTTACAAAAAGTGCTCTAACAATATATATGTACATAAATCTTCAAGTGCATCGTATCAAAATCTTTCTAAAATATCAATACTTCTCATTAGTAGCCTTCTTTTGAGTTGTTGTTCCCTTTGATTGCTTGGTGAATAAGATCTTCCAAATTCTTATAATAGTGCATTTTCACCATATTTTGAATCTTTCTATTTAATTCATTCAAAAATCTATCTGTTGTAGTCATATGTGTTTCTTTTACATTAGCTTTCATCAAGGTTATCTCCATCTCTTAAACATATTCTTTAACATTCTTATTTTCTTGTGTACGTGTTTTGTAATTTGTTAAAAATCTCCTTTTTATAACAAGGAGGCACAAATATTTCATTCATGTGTACCTTTAATTACTCCCTTGTAGAGATTGACAACATTCTCCTTCTAACTATGTCCATGGTGATTTGATTCCACAAATTCATAGCATAGCCTTCAAACTCCAAGGAGGCCATAAGAACCTTATCATCATCCTCATAATCATAAGAGCTGAAGATTTGGTTAAATTTTATTTCCCATGCTAGGTAGGCTTGTGGGTCATTAGCTCCACTAAATTTAGAGATTATAATCTTCCTCCACATCTTATCTCTTCTAGGTTTGTGGTTCCCAAACTCCTTTTGTTTTTGCTCTCGCTTTGGTTTAAAACATGCTCTTCTTTATCATTACCCCTCCCAAGTGTGTGGTTCCTAAACTTCTTTCATCTTTGGCTCCTCCTTGGTCTAAAAAATCCTCCTCTTCATCATTATAAGAATAACGGTTTGAATCATCATGTCTCATTCTCCCAACTCCTTCCAATCTCACACTCATATCTTCATTAGACTTTTGGAGCTTTTCAAAATGTAGTTAAGTGTGTTGTTGCATTTGAGCCATTTGTAAGTTGAGTTTCTCAAGTGTAACCATAATTGTCGTAGTCTTAGGTGATGATGATCATTATTTTGGGAAGAAGCCATGTCCTGCAAGCCTTATCACTCTTCTAAGTGTTTCACTCAAATTCCACTCGTATATTACACTTACAAGCTCCTTTTTTTAAGTACTCTCTTGCCTTTTTCCACTTAAATTTCTTGTAATGCTTGGCGAAAAACTCTAGTAGTTTACGAAAAAAAGTGACAAATCAATATGAAAATTATCTAAATCTTAACTCAAGAGGTCAAAGAAAATTCAAAACTCTGGTAAAAACTTCAAATAATTTTAAAATACATAAAACAATACAACTATAAAATAATAGGACTACCAAAAAAAGTTAAATGAGATAACGCAAAGACTCTAAAAAAAGACAAAATATAATTCAATAGGTTAACAATTATAAACAATAATGCAACATAATAATTGAATTCTACAATTGTTTTTTTATTTTTGCTCTTGGATCCTTACTTTCTCTCTCTTTTTATTTTTCATTATATATTTGTTTGTTGTGGACTTGGATCCATTATTATTTTTTTTCAATTCAACGCACAAACAAAGAAAACTAAATCAATTGTCTTTCAAACACCAAATCTCATGCAAGATCAAGGTAAACAATTAATTGAGACTTTAATTGGGACTACAATTAACAGAGAAACATAAAAAATAGATAATTTTCACAAAATAAATTTAGAAATGCTCAATTTAAACAAAGAACATGAAAAATTAAAAACTCAAGGAAGAACCAAACAAAACACAAAACATACACATTCAAGAATTTTTTTGATTATTTTTTTAAAATGATAAAAATAAGATAAAATAGGATATTTAAACCAAAACCTTGCTCTAGATACCAAATGATAAGATCATGTACATGAAAGAGTACAATCGTTTCTGAATTTGAATCCTCAAGAGGTACAACAAAAATAAATCAGAGAAGAATGCAAAATAGGATAGGAACGTGCATTAGTACAAAAACAACGTACAACATCAAATATTTTGAGCCTTTCACGTCGAATTCGAGAACGACGTCATATCGTGAGACGTTAAATTGGCGTCGAATTTAAAAAATTCGACGTTAAATTTAACGTCGAATTTTATCAACAAACGACGTTAATCAATTTTTTTGTTTATTTTTTTAAAATTAATTGTGATCCTTTTTTATAACTCTACGAGATCTGAAAAGCAGAAAAACAACAAATTTCAGTTTTTGGTATTTTGTAAAGCATGAACTATGAACGTGTAACATATNGAAAGATTACATCATGCATCAATTGTTTTTCAGATAATGAAAAAACCTGACAGCCTGTAAGCACTCAATGGCAGGAATTATTGTAGTAGTACTGCAAATTCCACTTATATCGCCAATAGCAGCAACGTTTCTAAGAAAAAGATTCAGCATCTTCCCGAAACAATTAAGGACACTACTATAAGAGGAGAAATTTAAATCGAACGAGACACATCGGCATATATCATGAATCTGCAATAAGAACACAGGCAACAATATCACTTATAAGAAAATGTCACCAATGTACAAGTTTATACAAGGCCTAAGAAAACACATACCAGTCGTGATGTCTGTGCATAAATACGAGTACAATCTTCTTCATCTGAAGAAGTTGCAGCAACCAATTCCATCATAAACAAAATGTCGGACAAAACCTTGGAGAAAAGAAATTAAACAACAAATCAGGTGTACATTTATAACAAGTGAGAAGAGAGTGCATAATTTAAGGCATGTTTGCAAAGCCGAAAAAGCACTTCCATAATATAGAAAAACGAGAAAGCTATAACTACTTTCCGTCATCAGTTTCCGAACACGCTCTAAAACCTCGCAAGCATTTACGTAAAGGAGAAAACGAAGAAGATACCTCGTGAGAGGGAAGTTCAACCGCAGCGGACACCAAAGCGTTTGAGTGTGAGAGAATGAGATTGTCGAGCAATTGCACGTTGGAATTGCGAGGAGGAATTGTTAGGGATTCATCCCTCAGTGTCAAAAATGCAGTTCTCCATGACCTAACCAACGACGTCGGTGCCGCTCCGTCAAATCCCTTACCGGCCATGGAAGAAATGACGATCAGGGAATAGCGTTTTCAAGTTTTTACTCACTCATCACTTCTGACTTAGGTGGAAATTGATTCAATGAACTCTCGAGACTATTGTGAATAATAGACACCAATGGCAGTGCAAAGGGGCAAAATTCAGTAATAGCAAAGTCTTGCCTGCTTCCACAATTGGCCCCTGGTTTGATCAAGATTTGTTATAGAAATTTTTTATTTGTTTCATATATATATATATATATATATATATTGAAACGAAACTAAAAGGTAAAAATTTACATAGATTAAGAAAATAATTGTTCCTATTTTAAATATAACTAAATTATAAATGTTTAGAAAGTCTAATTTTATATACGGATTTTTTATTACACCATAAGGCCAATATAATATATAATAATCATATATTTAATTGTTTTATTTTTATATAATAAACAATGGCAAAATAAACAATAATATATACGCATTGGTGTGATCTTTGTACGTTAATGGACTCTTTCTTTTTGGATCTCAATAATTTCTTTTTTGATATTCCGATTTATATAATTAGATTATTTTTAAATTTTACAATCTAAGATTCATTTTAAAAAATTATACATTTTGAATTATATCATCTGCGATATATTTAAAAAAGTAATATATTTCGATTAATCTGAAATTATTTTTTCAAACATAGAATGGATGGTTTTGTTCTTTCTGTTCCTTTTTCATTGATGTATGATTGATGTTAATTTTTTTAATTGAGAAAATAAAGTAAAATGTTATATGCTGCAATCGTGTGGTGAGAAATTGTGTTTGGGGATGATGTTAGCAATTTGAGTATTCGTGCGGAAGAAACATGATCAGTGAAGTGGGTGATTGTGATTTGTGATGAATTCACACAAGTTGTCATTCGCCTTTGTAGGAGGATTTGCCTAAAAATCTCAACAACAATGCAGTCAGCTTAGAAATCGGGTTGTTTTTGGACTTGGCATTGCGATTAGTGTGGGTGGTGAGGTTTTGGCTGGTGGATGGATCTTCGCGACTGCTTGTTGATGTTGTCTTCACTGGTGCACGATAATATTTTAAATTGGTTCGGGTCGTGGAATTACTGAATGGCGCGACCTCTGTGTTATGTATCACGAGCTTGTAGGGGATATGCTCGAAATTTGGAAAGGGACACCGAAAGTAAGAGTCGTGGAAGCCATGGGAGGAAGACATGATTAAGATAAATTTACACCGTACATTCAAAAAATGTAAATTTACATCGTACATCCTAATACAAGTGTTTTTACAAAAAGTGCTCTAACAATATATATGTACATAAATCTTCAAGTGCATCGTATCAAAATCTTTCTAAAATATCAATACTTCTCATTAGTAGCCTTCTTTTGAGTTGTTGTTCCCTTTGATTGCTTGGTGAATAAGATCTTCCAAATTCTTATAATAGTGCATTTTCACCATATTTTGAATCTTTCTATTTAATTCATTCAAAAATCTATCTGTTGTAGTCATATGTGTTTCTTTTACATTAGCTTTCATCAAGGTTATCTCCATCTCTTAAACATATTCTTTAACATTCTTATTTTCTTGTGTACGTGTTTTGTAATTTGTTAAAAATCTCCTTTTTATAACAAGGAGGCACAAATATTTCATTCATGTGTACCTTTAATTACTCCCTTGTAGAGATTGACAACATTCTCCTTCTAACTATGTCCATGGTGATTTGATTCCACAAATTCATAGCATAGCCTTCAAACTCCAAGGAGGCCATAAGAACCTTATCATCATCCTCATAATCATAAGAGCTGAAGATTTGGTTAAATTTTATTTCCCATGCTAGGTAGGCTTGTGGGTCATTAGCTCCACTAAATTTAGAGATTATAATCTTCCTCCACATCTTATCTCTTCTAGGTTTGTGGTTCCCAAACTCCTTTTGTTTTTGCTCTCGCTTTGGTTTAAAACATGCTCTTCTTTATCATTACCCCTCCCAAGTGTGTGGTTCCCAAACTTCTTTCATCTTTGGCTCCTCCTTGGTCTAAAAAATCCTCCTCTTCATCATTATAAGAATAACGGTTTGAATCATCATGTCTCATTCTCCCAACTCCTTCCAATCTCACACTCATATCTTCATTAGACTTTTGGAGCTTTTCAAAATGTAGTTAAGTGTGTTGTTGCATTTGAGCCATTTGTAAGTTGAGTTTCTCAAGTGTAACCATAATTGTCGTAGTCTTAGGTGATGATGATCATTATTTTGGGAAGAAGCCATGTCCTGCAAGCCTTATCACTCTTCTAAGTGTTTCACTCAAATTCCACTCGTATATTACACTTACAAGCTCCTTTTTTTAAGTACTCTCTTGCCTTTTTCCACTTAAATTTCTTGTAATGCTTGGCGAAAAACTCTAGTAGTTTACGAAAAAAAGTGACAAATCAATATGAAAATTATCTAAATCTTAACTCAAGAGGTCAAAGAAAATTCAAAACTCTGGTAAAAACTTCAAATAATTTTAAAATACATAAAACAATACAACTATAAAATAATAGGACTACCAAAAAAAGTTAAATGAGATAACGCAAAGACTCTAAAAAAAGACAAAATATAATTCAATAGGTTAACAATTATAAACAATAATGCAACATAATAATTGAATTCTACAATTGTTTTTTTATTTTTGCTCTTGGATCCTTACTTTCTCTCTCTTTTTATTTTTCATTATATATTTGTTTGTTGTGGACTTGGATCCATTATTATTTTTTTTCAATTCAACGCACAAACAAAGAAAACTAAATCAATTGTCTTTCAAACACCAAATCTCATGCAAGATCAAGGTAAACAATTAATTGAGACTTTAATTGGGACTACAATTAACAGAGAAACATAAAAAATAGATAATTTTCACAAAATAAATTTAGAAATGCTCAATTTAAACAAAGAACATGAAAAATTAAAAACTCAAGGAAGAACCAAACAAAACACAAAACATACACATTCAAGAATTTTTTTGATTATTTTTTTAAAATGATAAAAATAAGATAAAATAGGATATTTAAACCAAAACCTTGCTCTAGATACCAAATGATAAGATCATGTACATGAAAGAGTACAATCGTTTCTGAATTTGAATCCTCAAGAGGTACAACAAAAATAAATCAGAGAAGAATGCAAAATAGGATAGGAACGTGCATTAGTACAAAAACAACGTACAACATCAAATATTTTGAGCCTTTCACGTCGAATTCGAGAACGACGTCATATCGTGAGACGTTAAATTGGCGTCGAATTTAAAAAATTCGACGTTAAATTTAACGTCGAATTTTATCAACAAACGACGTTAATCAATTTTTTTGTTTATTTTTTTAAAATTAATTGTGATCCTTTTTTATAACTCTACGAGATCTGAAAAGCAGAAAAACAACAAATTTCAGTTTTTGGTATTTTGTAAAGCATGAACTATGAACGTGTAACATATTATCAACAAACAACAATGACAAACAACAAACAAGTCCAATCAAACAACAAACAAGTTCAACCAAACAACAACAACAAACAAGTTCACCCAAACAATAACAACAAACAAGTTCAACAAAAAATAACAAGAAACAAGTTCAACAAATAAGTTATTCAAAACGAAAACTAACCTTGATTCATCGGAATAAAGTGTTGCCGCACGTGAGAGAGAAACCAGAATGCGCCTATTAAGGACAACAACACGAAAATAATCGGTCAAAACAAACAAAAATCATACCTAAACTAGTAAATTAACATGCATTTGTATTAAATGAAAGAAATTTTACATATGATGGTCGTCAAACTTTGTTAGAGAAAAGTTTGAGCAGAGAAGAGGGTCTCGCGCGTTAAGATAAAGTGAATGAATTTTCAATCTCCTGCTCAAATTTTTATTGAATTCACTAATTTTGACGTCTAACGCTGGGACATTCGACGTTTTATATCATTTTACGTCGAATTACAATTTTAAACGACGTTTAATAATTGCATTTATTTACAAAAATGTCACCGATCATTTTTAATGTTGGCTATTGAGTGGTTCGACGTTGAACGCGTGACGTTATACGTTGTTTTTGCACTAGTGGTGGACGCCATAATCTAGCATATTGGTAAGTCAAATGAAGATTTGTCATAAAGATGTTAATCTTTGATAAAAATTAGAGTTATAATCCAAGAACTAAGAGAATCGTTTCTGTAACACCCCTTACGGAGTGCCATTAGAAAATAACAAAATCCAAAATTTTACGACAGTTTTTTTTTTTAAAAATTAACATCGCGGAACTAAACCATCAAAAGTCTAAGCGTCTTACAACATAAGATTAAAACCTTACAAATATCAAATTCATTATTCGAAGACATAAAATTACTTTAAAACATGATAAGTTCCCCATGGTTATTCCCATAACTCTCGTTGTGCTACTTCATCTCTGTCTCATCTGCAACGCCATCTACTCCCGTACAAGTACGATCATTGTAGGTGGAACCACAACCACAAAAGGAAAGGGTGAGTAACTAAGAACCTAACATATCATATAATTTCAATATCAAAATATCACAACTTAGATTATCCTAGTCACAACCTTACATTACAACGCAATATTCAACTCATAACTTAGATCATCACCACTCAGACTATCAAAGTCACAATATTAATAACTCAGATCATCACCACTCAGACTATCAAAGTCACAATATTAATACCTCAGATCATCACCACTCAGACTATCAAAGTCACAATATTACAACACATCACAGTATTAAACTCACGACTCAATCATTTACTCAAGCTTCTGTCAGATCTGTCGGTTTGTTTTTATCTAGCAGCATTAATTTGTTTATTTATTTTGTTTAAGTAGTGTAAGATAGATTTTATTTATCTCAAGGGTAAGACCATCTTCGGTGTAATGGTTAAGACATTTGGTTTTTCAATAACTCTACTCATATTGGTGTTTCTTCCTCAATAATTCTATAGATGTATTGAATACTATAGAATACTATAACCTTATCTACTTTCTTGAATACTACTTGGTAATACTGAAGTTGCCTTAAAAAGTAGTATTAATTTGATAACTTCAATGACAACGTATCATAAGCTAAGAGTTACTTTGTGTTTAAATAATACTAATGTCAAGTTAGAAGTGACTTGTTGAAACAATACTTATATAGGTTAGCCAATAATGACTATACGCTGAAATAATACTCATTAGT